AGTATCCATGTGCAGAGCGCATTAGGTTGCCACATATTACTGACAGAGAACTTTCCCAGTGAATTTTCCCAGTGATTATGCATTACATCATTGTTCTAGCAATTATGCAGACACATCATTATTGCAGTTATGCAGACAAATCATTATTCTAATAATTGTTCAATTTACTATATTATTATATTATTATATTATTATATTAATTTCATGCCTCCTCCAAAGCAAATCGGAAACAAAACAGAATTGTCTCAAACTTAGTTTGATGGTGCCAATGATTCAAGATACAGCCATTACAATTATATGAATTTTAGAAAAGTCAAGGCCATTTAAGAGTATCTTTTGTTAAATTAAATGTTTTCCTTTGGAGAATCTGGCTGGCAGCAAGTATTGGCTGAATGAGAGACAGGCTTCCTTCTTGGAATTGACATAGTTTTGATCAGGTACTGAGAAACAGGTCATACTACAGGCCAACAGGTTGTAGTATTGAGCTTGCTGTAGTGTCTTTCTTTCCAAGTTCTTAATCCAACACTTTTCTTGCTTCCCACAATCAGCCTCTCAATATTTTAACTCAGTTTCTGTTTTACTTCCCTTTCTTCCCCTTAAATATGCCAGTAATTAACTGGGGATCTGCTCTCTCCCACATGTTGACCATCACTTTTGATCTGACATCTCCTAAAAGATTTACCTTATTAATTTGAAACAGATTGTAAGATATGCTCACACAGGTGTATTCTAACTTAAAAACTCAACTCTAGCACAGCCTATCTGGTATCAGTTTAAAAAGTTGTGGTTGGAGAGGGGAGAGCACAAGTAAAATTCAACCAGAAATCCACCCATCACTAGTATGCCAGTTTTTCATCTCTGACATCATTCAGAAAACAATGGATCACATTTAAGACTCTTACCAATAACAGTCAAAGATTGAATATGTTATGGCTTTACCTTGTCTATGATAAATGTTCTGGTTCAGCTTTCCTCTAGACATCTATTATGTATCTGGATGCTTTTAAGAATAAGCACCTCTATTTTTATATGGCATCTAATAAAATTATTATGGTTTTTTTTCAACTGTTTATTAGTTTTTCATGTAAATAATCCACAATTAGTCTCTCAGACATGAGTCCTTTTTATTAACCATTTTCAATGGGGGAGAACTATCTTCACATTCTGTTTAAATTGATGTTCTTATTGTTGAAGGAAAAGTCTTCATCAGGGTCCAGTCCAAGCCAGGAATAAACAACATGGTGACTGCTTTAGAAAGAAGGTTGTAGTTTATTGAAGAGAAGAGCCAGACAGAAAGATGGCTCTGGATCTGGAAGAAACGAGTGAGCACATGTAGTAGGGAGTGTGTTTTTATACCCTCTTGCGCTTTTGTTTGGAGTTGTTTCCTGTTCCTGTTTGAGGCTTTGTATTTCCTGTATCATGTACTTTGACCTGAGTCTGAGTGTGCCCCTTTGGCATCTGTGGGTTAATCCTATTATGCCCTGTCTTAGAGTTTGGGTAGAGTATGTAGATTTTAGGTGTCTTTGTCTTCCTAAGCTTCTAGCTGGAGGGTTCCAACCTCATTACATCTGCATTTCTACAGAGCTGGTTTCTGCTTGGGAGAGGGAGACTTGGGGCTATTAAGAAAACTGGGCATGCTTTTCTGCCTCTTTAAGATCCTTTGAGGAAATATAATATTCTGCCCTTTTAATATTCCCTTCTCTGGGGGGGGG